CTCTCTCTCTCTCTCTCTCTCTCTCTCTCTCTCTCTCTCTCTCTCTCCCCCTCTCTCTCTCTTCCTATTTTCATTTCGTTGATTAAATTTAAACGTAAATAGATTTTTTTTTCTTTTTTTTTTTTTTTTTCTTAAGAACGTTCCTCTCTGTATCTTATTTTTCTTTTGCCTTTTTTTTTTTTTTACTCAATTAGTCGAGTCAATTTGTAAAATATATTTTTAACAAGTGAATTTTTCTTATATCTTCAATTACGAAACGTAGATAATTATTTAAATGATCAAAGTTTAAAAGGTCCTAATTAAAAAATAGTACATATATAAACACACACACACATATATATATATATATGATACGTGTATATATATATATATATATATATATATATATATATATATCGTTGAGACGAATATCTCGTAATCAAGAAGAAAGAGCTTATTCGGAATTGGAGCATGAGGTCGAAGGTCACTCCACCGGAGGTCGAAACGTTCGATGTTAAAGGTCATGGTTATGGGGGTTGTGAAATACAGCGTGAAAATAATAACGAATTCATTGAAACGTAGGAATACAAACTTTTCATCCAAATACATTTTATTCCATTAAAATTAGAGAAAAAGGATCTATAGATCTTGATCAAAGATCTTTGTACAAAAAATCGTTTACCGTGGTATTGATAGTAAAATGTTTTTTTTTCTTTTCTCTTTTTTCTTTCTTTATTTTTTTTCTTTTTTTTTTTTTTCAAACGAGTTCTAATGACGTAGTCATTCTTATTTAAGATCGTAAAGTAATTTTTTATTAATTACTTTTTTCTCCCTTCTTTTTTATATACTCAATGTTATACATTTTATATAACAATGTTTATTAATAATATTTATTGTGCTAATATTATATTAATATATTAATACAAATCTTAAACACACATTAGATCTATCGTATATATATTATTATGTATTGAAATAATTATGGACATATTTCATATTTTTCTTATTTATTTTACTTAATTTTTATTTTCGTCTAAAAACTTTTCGAGACGTCGACGATGTTAACATGTATACTATATACATACGTATATGTAACACGTATAATATATATATATATATATATATATATAAAATAAAATATATATAAAATATATATAAAATAAAATATATATATATATAAAATAAAAAGTTACAACGATTAAAAATATATTACATATTTTTCTCTCTCTTTTTCTTTCGCAATTTTTATTTTCGTCTGTAAACTTTTCGTCGACATTATTAATACATATATATATATATATATATATATATATATATATATATATATAAAATGGTGTGATAACTAAAAATATATTCCATGTTTCTCTCTCTCTCTCTCTGTCTCTCTCTCATTTTTCTTCTTCTTCTTCTTATTATTATTCTTTTTTTTATTTTTCTTCTTTTTTTTTTCCTTTTCTTTTTTTTTTTCTTATCAAGAGGTAGACATCGTTAGACGATTTCAGGCGAATGCCTTGTCGCCTTTGCGAAGCGCACAAATCCTATATACGTTCACAATGTTTATCGATAATCTATACTCGATAACGAGAGTGTCTATGCGCGCGCGTATATATATATATATATATATATATATACATATATATATATGCATTGTGTCTCTATGTGTTATAGTAGTTGCGGTATCCGTCAGATGAGAGAACTCATTCGAACTCCTTGGGACACGATAACGAAGGACGAAAGCTCCCGCTACTCGGGGAAATTATCAGTGCGATGCTTTTAGCCCTCCTTCAAATAATTTAACTTCAATTCTATCCATCCTCTCTCTCTCTTTCTCTCTCTCTCTCTCTCTCTCTCTCTTTCTCTATTTCTTTCTTTCGGAATTGAAATTTTTTAATTTTATTAAAAAGAAACAAAAAAAGAAAAAAAAAGAAAGAAAGAAATCTTCTATCTGCCTAATAAACCCATTATATATTATACATGTATAAACTTTAATATAATAATTATATATGATTATAATTATATATACGTAGATATAGATAATATATCTTTATTATATTACTTATTATTAATTGTAATAATAATAATAATAATAATAATAATAATAATAATAATAATAATAATAATAATAATCATCATCAATTTATTATTATTATAACAAAAATCAATGAAAATATATTTCTGTGGATAGAAAAGAAAGAAACTATATAAGGATAAACTTTCTTTAACTTCTAGGTAAAATGATAAAAAATAGAAAGAAACGATAGAAAGAAGAAAATGAAAAAAGAAAAAAATGGAAAGAAATGAGAGAGAGAGAGAGAGAGAGAAAAAAAGAAGAAAAAATTTTGTTCCATTATTAATGCATCTTGATAGTTGTTTCTACTTGCTATAGTAGAAACTATGGTATTCGGAATATGATTATTAATATTCGTACGAGTAAACACGTTACATTCTAACTATCGTGGGAAATATACATTTGTGACATAGCAGTACATAGAACAGCACACCATACGTATATTAGACACACGTTTCCCAGACCGCTAACCCTAATCGAACTAAGCAATCTATATATAATCCCTACTACACCTACGTAGAACCCATTAAAACGTTTATTAATAAACTAATGATCTTGTATAGTTATATATGACTATATATATATATGTGTGTGTGTGTATGTGTGTGTGAAAGTGAGACCAGGCTGGGAGTAATGTACAAAAACATTTATGTCTTAGAAAATCGAATGAATCAATTTCATTATTCTCTGATGCATTAGAAAATATTAGGAAATATTAGAAAATATTAGATTGATTGAAAGAAACACTTCGAAAAATTAATACAATCGAATTTATCTTTAATATTCATTGTGTTTATTTGATATTATAAAATGTTTGATATATATATATATATTTATATATAATATCATAAAATATATAAATACGTATTCATTATAATTTATATTATTTAATTATGCAGAGAATAAATGGGGAAATATTTGTTTATATCGATTATATCAAATAATTAACTTGTTTTTAAATTAAATTATTATAAACTCTCTCTCTCTCTCTCTCTCTCTCTCTCTCTCTCTCTCTTTGTTTTACGGTACGTTTCCATACAGTTCCTTGATCCCATTTTTAATTATTATTAATTAGTATTAATGTCACCTAATTTTTTTTCTTTTCCTTCCTTTGAATGTCATTCGATAATATTTCCCATCGATTTTAATCATCGTTCTCGTAATATTATCAACTTCGAATTTATCATTCTCCTTTATTTTTTTTTTTTTTTTTTTTTTTTTCATACACGCGTACGATACTTCCTATTTAATGTT